ATGATGATACAAATAGTTTAAAACAAAGGATATCGCCAAAGTTAATTCTGTAAAACATTATAGAGCCGGTTTTGTTTATAAGAAAAAACATAAGTGTTTACTGTGTTGCCTATAAATATAAACTACTTTTATGTTTATGTGTACAATATGTATTGCCTTATTTTAAGCATCAGTGTAAAATTTCATGTTAAAACAGAATTTCATAAGACAATAAAAAAAAAGATGTCTACTGAGACTGTAAAAATTGAAATATCAGGTCATTATCAAGAACCTGTATTTGAAGGGGCTAATTTCAATTTCAAGGGCTTGATTGGCAAGTGAATACCCTTGGCAATCAATGTTCTTTTTATGTGATACCAATTTCACCAAATCTTTACATACTTATATAATTTTCTATCTAATTAGCCTTCTTCGATCCATCTTTGGACATAGGTCTCCCCAATCCTTTTCCATTCTTCTGTCTGTTATTACAGTCATCCACCTAGAGCCCACATACTTCTTGATATCATCTGCCCATCTCATTTGGGGCCTTCCTCTGCTTCGTTTATATTCCCACATTCTCCAACTTATAAGAATTTTGTTCCATCAGTCTTCTTTTTGTCTTATATTGTGTCCGGCAAATCTCCATTTCAATTTTGCAACTTCTTGTCTAATATTCCTCACTTTTGATTTCTCTCCTATTCACTCGTTTCTCTTTTTTTATCCATTAGTCTTATGTGCAACATTTGTCTTTCCATTGCTCTTTGGGTTTTTATGATTTTGTCCATGTTTGCTTTTGTAAATGTCCACGTATGGGAACCGTAAGTGAGAACAGGGAGTACGCATTGATTGTATACTTTGGTCTTAAGATGGTGTGGATATCTTTTGTTTTTAGGAATGTAACTTAGTTTGCCAAATGCTGCCCATGTCAGTCTAACAGATAGGTCGCAAAAGGTATGCCTGGAGAAAAGGGGACATAAGGTTTACTCTGAACCAATCAATTTAAAATTAGGTATACCACAGGGAAGTGTTCTGGGGCCTTTTCTCTTCTTGGTCTACATAAACAACCTTCCAAATGCAGTGGTTAGTAGTTTCTCGAACCTTGTAAATTTCGCTGATGACTCAAATGTGCTTTTCTGGAAAGAAACTTTAGAAACACTCCTCACAGTGGCAGAGCAAATTATAAGCAAGGCTGAATAGTGGTTCAGTGGAAATCGGTTGTTGCTTAATACTGATAAGACAGTTTTTGTCTACTTTAGAACCAGCCAGTCATGAGAACAGTTTCCAAATACAATTAATTTTCTATCAGAAAACACGGAACCTGCTAGGTCAGTTAAATTTCTTGGTATTCATATTGACCAGAATCTGAATTGGGGGGAACAAATACAAAATACAACAAAAAAACTGAATAGAACCTGCTACTCATTAAGAGTATTAAAGAGCTATCTAGACCAGGGGATTTTACTATCAGTATATTATGCAAACTTTTATTCTGTTATGAGATATGGAGTAATCTTCTGGGGTGCTGCAGTAGATAGCTCAACTGTCTTTATAGTCCAAAAAAATGCAGTCCGGGTGATCTTAGGACCAAAGGCAGGAGAATCTTGTAGAGGCAGATTCAAGTCACTCAATATACTCACTTTCTCAGCCATCCATATATTTGAATGTATTATGTTCCTTTTTAAAAAATTTTCTTTGTTTTATCACCTGCTTCCCAATCATGAATATAATACAAGAAGCCTTAATTTGAATTTGCCACTTCACAAATTTTTATACCTTTTTCTTCCCATTCTAATCTTTTAAAAGTATCTTCCAGAGCCTGATTGAAAAGTTTCGGTGATATTGTGTTCACCCTGTCTCACGCCTCTATTTATATGAATTAATTTTGTTCCTTCATATACTTTAATTGTTGTTTTGGCTTCCTTATATATATTGGCTATTAGTTCCTTATATCTGTGGTCCATTCTGCTGTTAATCAAAGAACTTTTCATTGCCCAATGTTCAACACCGTCGAAAGCCTTTTCGAAATCTATGAATGCTATATATAGAGGAATGTGGTATTCATTTGCTTGTTCTATAAGTATTTTCATACTTAGTAAATGATCACTTGTGCTGAATCCCTTTCTAAAACCACCTTGTTCTTTTGACTGGTATCTATCGAATTTTGTTGTCAATCTATTGGTTAAAATTTTTGTTAGGAGTTTATACATTACATTAAGGAGTGTTATATTGTGTGGGTCTTCTTTTTGTCTTGAGGCCAGCAAATCTCCATTAAAAACACAATGAAACTTCATTTTAATCACATAAAATTTTCAAATCTGTGTGAAAAGTAGGTCTGTATTAACTCCAAACTAAATATCACAGCCCACCACTGTAAAAAATTATGCTTTACTATTGAAAATTTAATTGAAAAAGTATGAGAAATCATATTTAATGAATTCCAAGACCCAGAGTAAGAGATAACAAGCGTGGTATGCATATTTTAAATTGAGATTTGCCAAATGTTCATGATATTAGTGCCAAAAACTTAAACACTGTTTCTCATGACACTTTTATACATTTTTACTACTATCTACACTACAGGAGTTTTTTAAATTGTTTTTTTTTGGCAAAAAGTGTATTCACGTAACATTTAAAATGACAGAAAAGTTTTCATGCACCAAAGAAGGCAAAAACAACTTTCTTAACATGAAAGTTAATGGCAACTGTGTTTTCAGATTCTAGTAAACTATTTTAGTCATCTACTTCAAATAGGAAGCACAAGCAGGCAATAACATCAAGGACAAATGATTATATTTTGTAAATAAAAACAAAATTTCTATCTACCAAATGAATCTGTTCATAGGTCTTCAATTGGAATATCTAAAATTAATGAATTTAATGCCCACATTTACCCATTTTCTAAGTTTGCCCGTTAGCCATTGTAGTATATGTCTAAACCTAAAAACATTGTTTGGTGAGAGTTTTCCATCTAATTCTGTGATAAACAATACTGTAAATCAATATTTTGGCAACTTTGATGCATTTCCTTTGTTAGGTCACATAATTAAAGAAAAAACTAACAATAACATCAATGTTAATGATTACAGTTATGGCTAATATGATATAATAAAATGTTTGTACAAATTTTCAACAAAAATATTGAACATAAAAATATTTCACTACTAAAATCTTCTATTCTATTAAAAATATTGCGACACAATCAGTTCAGCTCCAGAAATATATCGTCAGTTGACAAATAAAACTCACTAAGTACAAAAATGTTTGAAATTGACATTTTATCACCAAATGCATTAATGGTTTAAGATCTTTGCCTGGAGAAAGTCACAAGCTACAAACATCATTTCAACACAGACTTTCAATTTGAAACATTTCATTATGTATTTGCAAATTTTAATAAAATCTTTTAGTAAAAGTCGTTATTGCATGCTATTTTGTAGATTATGTTACTTCAGTTAGTTGACTAAATCAGTATTTATTGTTGTTTGTTGTTCTTAAGTTGCAATAATTACTTTAATAAGTGAAAATTTGTTTAAAACTCATTTACATTCCTTCCTTCCTTTATCGAGTGTACCTTTTATTATAGCATGAATTTTTAGACAATGTTTTGGCAGGTAAAATTCACTAATTGCGTTTTTCTCAAAAAATTGAAAAATACACAATTTTTTAATATAAACTCTGTAACATAAGATAGCTTAAACTGTTTTTCAAAATAGGTACCCCACTTTCATCCTTCATTTCCTTCCTTTCTTCAGTGAGTTTACCTTCTGTCATAGCATGAGTTTTTAGACAATATTATGGCATGTAAAATTCATTAATTACCTTTTTCTCAAAAACATCAAGAATACACAATAGTTTAATAAAAACTCTAGAAGGTAGCTTAAATGGTTTCTCAAAATAATTACCTTCTGTTCTAACATTGATTCAAAAATGGATTTTTTTACATTAGAATATGCTTTAAAACTCCAATATCTTTGTTCTTTTAATATGGTACATGGTGGTTTTACTTGTCACCTGAGGTTATAGTAGAAATAATGATGAAAAACAGAATGGTGAACTGAGTTTATGCTTCTATGTCCTTATTTCTTGCTGTTTTGTTAGATACAAAATAGAATTTAGAAAAAAATGATTATTTATTATAAATGCAGTCTTAAAACTGTTTCGTACTGAAAGGGCTTTACTAATAAATGTATTAAATACCTAGTAGCATAACAACAGTTCATCTATGAGAATTATTGACAAAACCCTCTATTATATTAAAAATACTAGTTCCAGATGCCAAAACATAGAGCAGAAACAATGATGACAATGGGACAATAACTAAATTAAACCTAAATTGATATTTTTATGCCTTTATTTCATTAGATCAAACATGTACTCATTAAAAAAATTGTTTAATTTTAAAAACAGTCTTAATTAACTAATTTGTAATTGAAAGGCTTTACAAATAAGTGTAAAATAGGATACAAACAGTTAATCTATGAATGTTGTTGACAAAATTTGTTTTGGCTCTACAATTTAGTAATATTTCAAATTAGCTGGAGTCTATGTATTCCGGTTAAATAAACAGATAAAATATGAACTGTGGGTATCAGCTAGTGTTTAAAGTGTTCTAAAATATTATTTTATAATTTTAATGAAAATTGTGTAACTAGCAATATTTTATTTTAATAGGACTACACCTTCAAGCTGATACAAACATAACTGATATCAAAAACAGCATTATTTAAGTCCTGTTTCAAAACCAATACATCAAAAACCCTCACAAAGCTAAAATATCACCAATATCGTAAACCACAACTTGTTGCTGTCAACCTGGGGCCCACCTATTATTCTCAGTATATTTATATGAGAGATATTTTCGAAAAACGACAATGCAAACCATAAATCATGGCCTAACAATAATTTCTGATAGTAAATCCTCACCGATGCGTACACACAGTAAGCAATACTTGTCAAATATAATTAAACAAAAAGATTCCTAAGGGTACATCAATGGAGGAAATGGACACGGCACTTACCCGGTGAAACTGTTTTTTCTAGCACCTGGATGAGTTGTATGGCCTCCTGATGCATTTTGAAACTATTTTACGTCTTCTAAAAGCCAAGAATTGTATTTATTTGTTCTAGAAAATTAACCGGCTTCACAAAACGGTTCTACACCACATGTAATTTCACGGCAGTCTAGACAAATTTACTGCCTTCTGTCAAATTGACGTGTCAACTGTCACTTTAAAAAATTATTTTGTAAATTGAAATCTTTAAAACACATTAATTTAAATATTTAATTAGGTATTAAATTCGGACAACATTAAGATTTAAATTGTTTTTACTAGCGAGGATACAATAAGTACTTGAATTAACAAAAAATAGTATTTGCTTTAGCGGGAAGGTGAAATTGATGACATTATTACGTCACGAAAGAAGTTGTGTTAGTTGGTCGTGCTCTAGTACTATATGGGAACCTATGTTAGACAGTTGTATTAACTTATTGGGAACTGAAAATTACTTTTATTTATCTTTTACAAATATATTATATATTAAAGTAAATTTAACAATAATTTATATAAATTACACAATGAAGTTTCAAATAAGAAAATGTGAATATATAAAAGTGACTTTTTGGTCTTTCCCCAACTCGCTCTATCTCTATCTCTACAAATTCTTCTTTTTTGTATTGGTTCGTGCTCAGCTTTCCTCATGCTATGTAGCGATAATATCTTAAAGTTTTATGTCTGGGACAATTTCAAATTAATTTAAAAGAAAAGAAGATTAGATGTGACTTCAACTTCAAAACTTCAAAATCGTTAAGACTGTCAAATTTGTATATAATAAACAAATTCGAATTGCTTTAAAATGAATAATTCATTTCTAATACTTTTCAATTTCTTAAAACGCATTAAAAAGGATTAATTTTACATATGTACAACAGCTCTAAAATATGTAACGCGAATTTCTGCACGTTACTAAAAACTTCCCAAAGTAAATAAAATTATTTTTTATGTAATATAGAAATATTCATTAATGATTACTTTTTCAGATGTGATATCTACTGTCATGTTTATTAATTTAGAAAAATGGAAGTTCTGATTTCAAAGAAAATAATTTTGTCTTTGTTACTGTTAGCTACTATATCTTTGTATGTATCTTTTGTGTTTAATTCCTGTGTAATATCCAGTCTATCCAAAGCAATACCTAAGGTAAGTGTAAACGAATATGTTGATATATTGATTCCTTTTATTAAGATTTCCGAGGAAGAGTATTTTATCATATATTTATTCTGAAATTCTAGTGACTTTTGGACAACTTCTTCATCATTTAAATAATTCTATCCATCTCAAAGACCCTTTGGATATTACTATCTAATTATTATTTATAATAACTGGAATGTTCTGTTTCTTTTAGCTTGTAAAATGAAAATCTTTATATAACTACTAAATCCATTATGTCATATGTATACATATATATGGACAATATTTTTTATCAAAGTCATGATTTAATGATCAATCTCTTAAAATCAACAAAACAGAATCTATTACCAATATGTTTCACAAAATAATATAATGTTCATAACTGATATAAGTAATTAATACATTATATCTACCATACAAACTCATAGAATTTTATTAAAAATGTTTGACCAATTTGCAACACCTTGAATTGCTTCTCCTGACATACTTTTATGTTGAAATCACTTGTATATCTTCTGATTTAAGTTAACGAAACTTGTTTATTAAAATTGTTAAATTCTATAAACATTTTAGTGGCAAACACATCCAGTGATAGTAAATGAAATACCCTTAGTTCATTACACTGCCTCTGTTCGTGTAGTATCTTTACTAGAAGGCAATGAAACCGACATATCTCCAAAATACAAATTTTTTAGAGAACAGGGTCTAAGACCAGAAAGACAATTACCAAGTGCTTTAATTATTGGTAAGTTTGATATTATATGTAACCCTTATCTGTTAGTACAGTGAACTCTCTCCAAACCCCCCTCTCAAAAGACACCTCCTCTGTATGTTCAGTTTTTAAAACAAAAATCTTTGGCTTATATGAACCTGTACATTTAAACCTTCCTTTAAAGGACACATTTTGTTAAAACTATTCAACAGAAGGCATTGGAAGTTGTACAGGAAGTAAGTGTTGATATGAAAGCTTCTAGTAAATGACTTAAGATATTTTGTGGCACAGTATTCTCTTCTAATCTTTATGTGGTGAACCAGCTGCTGCAGATTTAATAGTATTGTCTGACTGGAAGGAAAAATTGCTCACTTTTATGAAGGGATATTCTCTGAGAGACATTTTTAATGCAGACCAGATAGAATCATTTTTTAAAGCTTTACCCAACAAAATCTATAGCCTGAGAGAAGAAAAGTGTGCTAGAGGTAAGCCTTCTAAAGATGCTCACAATAATTATGACCAATTTTAATATTTCACCAATATTATAGTAGACAAAGAGACCACTGGTAATTGAAAAAAAGTAATTACCCTAGTTCTTTCAAGGGTTTCATGTAAAAAAATTGATACTATGGAAAAACATGACAGACTGGCTAAATAAACTTGATACAAGAATGCAGAGAGAATGCTGCATTCTTCTTCTTATGGTTCCCATCCAATTAGTGGATGTTTGCAACAATTCTGGCATACTCCTCTAGATCTTGTGTGGCTCTAAAGAGTGCATGGACATCAAGGTTTGTCAAATTCCTTATGTTTTTAACCAATGAGTATTTCTTTCTTCCGATGCCCTGATTTCCTTCTATCTTTCCTTTCATAATAAGTTTTAAGAACTGGTACTTGGAATTTCGAAATATTTGACCCAGATAAGCAGTTTGTCTTCTTTTTATTATTGGCAGCAATTCTTCTATTTGTACTTTAATAATAGGATAATTCTTCTTTTTGTACTTTTGGGAAGCTATCAGAGACTTGGTGGTGGTTACGATAGTTTCTTTAATAGAATTCTATTTATTTTCTATACTAGCCAGTTGTTGCATTACATCATGCAAATTATTTCCATCACAAAATACTAGATCTCAGTGCCAGTACCTGTATCAAGGGATTAGAAAATGTTTAAAAATATACTACAGACAATTTTTGATTCCAAGTCTACTGTAGTCGAAGGACGAATATGATTTTACGAAGGTGATTGACAAGTTTTTCAAGGGCGATTTTATGGCTTTCTGAGTAGTCTAAAATGACGCTTCTTTACAAATTTATTACGTTACAAAAACATTGAGGGAACCTTGTTGACTAAAAATTAATTACAGGGATTAATGTAGTTTACAAGAGAGAGTTCACTGTACATATTTTTTGCCCTTTGCAAACAAAGTTGTTATATTGTCACATATTTAATAATGGCGACTGTGAAATATCATTTTTTGACCAATAAACGAAAGAATTTAATTTTTGATGTAGGTGTGAAGAAGGGAGGCACTCGGGCCCTTCTGGAATTCATCCGAGTTCACCCGGATGTGCGAGCGGCAGGCAGCGAGGTCCATTTTTTCGATAAGAACTATGTGAGGGGCTTCCAATGGTACCGAACGCACATGCCCGCCACTCTCGAGGGACAGCTCACCATCGAAAAAACCCCATCGTATTTCATCACCAGAGAAGCCCCACATCGAGTGCAACTAATGAATCCATCCACTAAGTTACTTGTAGTTGTAAGAGATCCCGTTACAAGGGCCATATCTGATTATGCTCAAGCTATTTCGAAAAAAATTGATATGAAGCCTTTCGAACAGTTGGTTTTTGTTAACGGATCCATCGGAAGCATCATAGATACTTCTTGGGGTCCGATCAAACTAGGAATCTATTCGAGATATCTCACGAGGTGGTTAAAATTCTTCCCTCTCTCTCAGTTTCTCTTCGTCAGCGGTGAACGCCTCGTTTTGGATCCGGCCATCGAGCTGCGTCGTGCCCAGGACTTCCTGGGTCTCAAACGAGTCGTTACTGAGAAACACTTTTATTTCAATTCTACCAAAGGTTTTCCGTGCCTGTTTAAAAGCGAAGGGCACTCTGCTCCTCACTGCCTGGGTAAGACTAAAGGGCGCAGCCACCCCTACGTCAATCCCGTTGTACTGCAGCGGCTCAGGGACTTCTATCGCCCGTTTAATAATCACTTTTACCAAATGACGGGAATTAATTTCGGGTGGGCTTGAAATAGGGCGGTAATTAACGTTTTTCTTCAAGAAATCGTAGTGGAAGTATTGAGATCAGCGCCCATTAAATTTGAAAAAAAAAAGAAATCGAATTGTTAACCTTATTGATTTACATCATCATCATTATGGTTCTTTTTTGGGAGAGGGTATTGTTTTGTTGGACAAATAAGAGCCTGCTTCGATGAATGTTTTTGGTGGGTTTAACACTTTATTATTATTTTTTGCTTCTTTAATCAAATTTTATACACTATACCAAAATCTTCTAGTCAAAATTTTGTTAAACGAGTTATTCTTTTCGAGATACATTTTATTATTTTTATATTCTAGTACGTCATAATTACACAGTGAATACGAAAATTTCATGAAATTATTATTTTTTTTTACTCTAAAAGTATCTTCAATTGATGCAACTTTTGTTTAACTAATTTGAGGAAACATATAAAAAATGCTATTTTTAACGATATTTTTCGTAGCTGCCATGTTGCTGCCGATTCTAATTATTTGTTTAAATGCTGATTTATAAACTTTACGTTGGCGCTGGCGTCCGGTTTTGTTCAAGATGAACCAACTTTATCTTTTGCCGTTGGCCGTTGTAGCACAGAATACACCAACCCTTCTGTGGTTGTAGTCCCGATTACAGAACATAAAAAAACTGTATCTTTGTCATCGGAGCCAATAGCAATACCGAAAAAGTGACAAGGTTTGCCAAACAAATCAAACCAAATTATTTGTTTATGTTTGTGTTTCCACGTGTTTATAAAGTGGAAGAGTTTAGATAATAACAAGCCTCTCTTCAACAGAAATTCCATCAGAGCGATAGTTTACATTTATTTTTGGTTTTATCTGCATCCTATTTCATATTTTTATAATAATTAAAATGACCTCTTGTCTTTCTGTTCTGGTTAATGGGCCTCCGTTTGTATCGACGTTGTTTTTTATTTCGAAGGTTCAGTGCTGCTTGAATACAAAGTATCAGTACCACTGCACCCATGATACTATGAATAACAAGATAGGATCTTTCCGTAGCACAAAATCGTTCGTGTTTGCGCATGCCGTCATTGGAGAGTAGAATTTGAATTCTTGTTAAAGTTAAATGAGATTTGTATGCATTCTGTGATGAAATTACTAGACGAAAATAAGTTAAGAGGTTTAATAATTACAATAATCGTACACATAAGGATATCTCCAAACTATTTATTAAAGATTATTTATTGATATATACAAAAACTGACATTTCGAACGTGCAAGTCTCCAATGACGTCACAAAACATGCGCAATATCTTATCTTATAGTCATAGTATCATGACTGCACCTAACAAAGGCCGAGCATTTTCATTTTCCATTGTATTAATTTTCAAGCAAAAATTAATAATACCAAATTAAAAATGTAAGGTTAGAAATTTAGATGTGGCCAACGCCAACCGAAAGTTTATAAGTGCAGTGTATGATAGCCAGCGCCAACTTAAAGTTTATAAATCAGCATTAAGCGTTTTTTTTTAATTGTTTTATTTAAGATTGTTAAAAAATGTATTGTACTGACATGACTTCCCTTACCTTCCTTATATAGTATTAATTATATGGTTAAAAATGTTGGTGTATGTATCTTCCTTTTTACCAACTAATGGGAGATATAATATATTGTACATATTGATCTATATATAAAGGATTGTACCTACACTTTTATGTTTGTTATACAAACTTATTTCGGTTCGGACGATTTTCACATTTGGTCCCATTGAAGATAGCTTCAAATGGGTTTGACAGAATGAAATATTGGTGTTTTTGCAGTGTTGAAATTTACATTACAAACGAAACATACGCAATTAAAAGCAATAAGATATTTAAAAACTAATATTTAACGATTACCAAAAAAAGAAAAAGTAAATAGTTTTAAAACAGTTTTTAACAGTAAATAGTAAAATGTCATTATAAATAATAAAATTTAAAAGGCATCTGTTGCAATCTGGCAGCGGGTGGTATGAGGGTTCTGACTCTATTGCCAAATCTATCCGCTAACCTACCAAATGGCAATTGCCAAAAAAAATTTCTGATAATTTATTACAACTAATATCTTCAAATATTACTTCATTAATATTTTATATAAGGTATAAAATTGCAGAATCCATAAAATAATATGATAAAAATGTACCTTTTAAAAGCTTTATCTCTTTGTATTTGAAGCATATAACATATACATTATAAGGACATGGCAACACTGCCAACGCAATATTTCGTTCTGTGAAACTTAATTGACAGCTAACTTGAGCCTATCTTCAATGGGACCAAATGTGAAAATCGTCCCTTATTTCATTTGTTTAAATTTGTATGTGTTTCGCATTATTTCGAAATTATTTTATAAAACGATCATTTCGATCTATATATTGGTACGTTATTAATATCCCCTCCCCAAATAACATAACCAAACAAATTTGACAACTGTCACTTCCTAACACCTTTTGACTGCGTTTAATTTTGAGATTTTATTACACTTTTTTGTACGATTTATGATTTCTTTATTTTTATAATTCAAGTGATTTTTCTAATATCGGCAGTTATATACCAGAGGAGAGTAAGAAATGTCTTTAATCTTTTCTATCAGCCTCTCTTGACTAACTCGTGTTTCTGCCGACCCCGAATTTTTCGAAGGTTATATTTCCTTCGTTATATTTCGGTTATATTTCGAGGTTTCCGAAGGTTATATTTCCTTCTACTACAACTCTAAAACTCGCCAACACGCTTGGCCAGCGCGGCATTTCACGGCCAAATTTCCCCTCATGATGGATACATCAAGTGTACGGCTCTCAGTCCCCGGCGGTTCCAATTTCCCTGACAAAGGTGGCGGTCAGAACAGTGTTGGAGCAGAGGGTGCTAAGAATCACCGGAAGAGATCAGACCAAAACAAACGACAAATGTGTATATGTGCCGACAATGTACAAACTTTATCAACAGAAGCATCAGTGATAGAATTGGAGAATGAACATATTAACACATAAAATGGGATGAAATGATGGGAACATGAAAATGAACACATAAAATGGGATGTTCCATTTCAGAGGAAACGAAGATTCATCTGTTGGAGGATTGGAGAGTTTTTTAGTCCATAAAAAATGGGTACCAGACATAATCACAATAAAAAGTATATGTACCAGAGTCATTTATCTTATTTTTAAATTAAACCCAAGATACAAACTTAAAATTATACAGACTTACGCACAACTACGAGCCACCCGGATGAGGAAGTTGATCAATTTTTATGAAGATATCAGAGCAGCTATACAAACTTCAAAAACACATTACACATTGATAATTGGATATTTTAACGCCAAATTGGGATTCAAACAAGATGATGCAGAATCTGATATGGGAAACTTTGGATTTGGTGACTGACGTGAGAGAGGTAACAGGCTTCTTGACTTCTTACATCAGGAAAATCTCTTTGTGATGAACTCATTCTTCGGAAAGAAACCCCAACGTAAGTGGACATGGAAGAGTCCGAACCAAACAACAAAAAATGAGATTGATGTCATAATATCAAATCGGAAAGATATTGTTCAGGATGTAACATTATTGAATAAATTTTCAACAGGTAATGCTGATAGACTAATTAGAGCAAAAACCACTTTTAACACTGAAGTTGAAAGAACAAAAATGATCCTCAAAAAGAAAAGTGGAAGGTGGATGTTCCAAGAAGATATAACACTTTACGAAGAAAATGTTAAGACTATACTACGTTCCACGTTTAGAAAATAACATTGTGGAGATAGGGCTATGTATTTCTTATGGACGATAGCAACGCGGCGTTGCCACGACACACACAAGCACAATTTAGGGTTGTATAATTTGTATTTTCGTTTCCACAAACATGAATTAAATTAATGTTTTTTAACGTAATTGACCAAAAGTGCCCATTCGAAACAAGAGATGAAAAGTAGGGAAAATGATTTTAATTAGATAAATAGTATTTACAACAGATAATTTTATTTTATCTTATTTTAATTATAGTAACGACAGTTTATTTGTTTTTCGGTGAGAATACGATATGCCATGAATCATAGAAATCAGTAGAAAATATTGACTGCTTGGAATGCGTATATCTAATTACTAATTGCAACTTAAAATAATACGATGTGCGTATGTCAGCTATTTTATGTCGTTCTCTGACTACATAATGATTATAAGGCTTTTATTTAGTAGTTATTCTGACTTTCCAGTTAAATGTTAATTGAAAATGAAAATTCAAAAATTAAGCAAAGGGAATATCTTGGACATCCGTGCAAAAGAGAGTGTCTGAGAGTTTTGGCAACACTGATCTCCATAAGCGTAATGTTATTTTCTTAACTTGAAACAAAGAATAGTTTGGATATACACGACTTAGAGAATATCAGCATCAATGAAATGAACAATAATATTACTCAAATATTGAAAGAAGCTGAAAAGAATTACTGTCCTCGTCCTGAAAACAATAACAAAAAATTAAGAGACAACACAAAACATCTTCTAGAAGAAAGAAGAAAACTTAGGGAAAATCAGAATCATAACCAAAATGAACTAAGAATTTTGAATAAGAAAATTAAAAAGGAAGTTAGAAAAGATCTGAGACGATACAATACGATGGAAATAACTAGAGTAATAGAAGAAAACAAAAGCTTGAAAGTACTCAGACAGAGCATGTCTATTGGAAGAAAAAACGTCCACAAATTAAGAAATGAACAGGGGCAAATCATTGAGGATAGAGTTCAAATTATGAACACGATAGAGAGTTTTTATAGACAACTATGCAAAGAACAGCAATGTAACCGGAGTGGATCATTACCAAAGATAATCAATCAGAGATCTGAAATTTTACCGGACGTAACACCCAATGAAGTTCGAAGG